TTCAGATAATGCTTTCTATTCTAAGATTATACTTTCTTAATAAAAATATAAAAAAATATTTATAAATGCAACTATACAAATAAGCATTATTTGATAACCAAATCTTCAAAGCCTTAAATAGGATAATAATTCTGAGCAAAGCTAGCACCTTTCCTCTAAAAAAGGAATTATCGATATCGGTTAACGTGGTCTAAAGTTATGCGGTAACATATATACAAAAAATAAAAAGTATATAAATATCCTAAAAATAACATATTTTTTATTTCATTTGGCTATACTTTAAACAAATAACACAAAACCGAAATACTTACATATATCTATAATGAAATGCAGCTATTTGATTAAATACTACGCGTAATTTTTACGTACATAGTTTCGGCTTTATGGCCACACACAATTTTTCTCCCCATTTTTCTGGCCTGTGCAATATTAAATATTACAAGTAAGAAAGTCTAAGTTCGCGCGGAGCCGAACATTAAATACCCGGCGCAAATATTAAATATATGATTTTCACCTTTCCGAAAGCTACCGCTACATGGTAAGCCGGGCTGTATCAATTTTGAGTAAATTAGCGTCCTAAAATTTCAAAATATTGACGTTTAAAGCATTTCTAAAATTTACCGTTATATGAAAAGCGGCCGTAATTTTAGTCCGATTTCAATAATTTTTTTTTTTTGCTTCTATGTGGCAAGCACAATAACCACACCGAGTTTGGTACAAATCGGTGGAACGGTTACCGAGATACATATATGTGATCATAAGTGGGCGGTGTCACGCCCATTTTTCAAAATTTTATCCTAAACGTATTTCTTGGTAGAGAGTTGTTGCAAACATCAATTTTGAATAAATTAGCTTCAATAATTACTGATTTATCGAAGATTTCGTATTTCTCTAAATTATTGTTATATGGGATGTGGGCGTGGTTATTGTCCGATTTTAAAAATTTTCGGTCATTTCGTGTGTTATACCAAGGTTAACAACTGTGCCAAGTTTGGAAGAAATCGGTGCAGCGGTTGCCAAGATATACACATGTAACCATAAGTGGGCGTGGCTACGCCCATTTTCCAAAAATTTATAACATTCTTATTTTTCATCTAAAAATTATTGTAAATATCAATTTTGAGTTAATAACCTTCAGTAGTTACTAAAATATCGCAGTTTTCGTATTTCTGAAAATTACCTTTATATGGGAGGTAGGCGTGGTTATTGTCCGATTTTGCCCATTTTTAATACCATCCGTCCTACGCCCGAAAGAAGTACACGTACCAAGTTTCGTTAAGATATCTTAATTTTTACTCGAGTTATCGTGTGCACAGACGGACGGACAGACGGACGGACGGACGGACGGACAGACAGTCACCGCTTAATCGATTCCTCTTTTCATTCTGATCATTTATGTATACATTTGTCTATATCTATCT